GATATATCATTCCTGTATTGGACTGCCTTCATAGGAGGGAAAAACTTCAATAAAAATTTGTCTGCAACTCTTCCCAACTTCGGATTGACTGTGGTTGTAAAGAATTCAACCATGCTTTAGCTTTGTTGGTGAGGGAATATGGGAACAACTGGGTCTTTAGCGCATCGGATATAACTCCTCTTATTTTGAAAGTGTCTGCTACATCAATAAAATTCTGGAGGTGAAGGTGAGGGTCTTCACTAGGCAGGCCATTGAATTGACCAATGGTCTACAACATGTGAAACATCACTGGCTTCAGCTCAAAATTCTCTGCTGCTACAGCAGGTTGAACGATTCCAGAATGCAGATTGTTGAGCGTAGGAATTGCATGTGCTCTGATTGGGATCTCAACCTGATTTGGACCTTCGTTGTTATTTCCATGCCCATCCTTATCCTTTCTGCCATGTTAGGTGTTGCTGTAGGATTGATACGTCTTTGCTGTCACCTTCTTGCTCAAAATGTTCTTTCAATCTCAGGATCAAAATATGCTTCTTGCTCTGATGAAGAACTGCTCATACGCTGCAATTAACACCTTGAAAACAGTAAGCAAGAAGGGTAAATGATATAAAAGAAAGAAAATTTCTTCACTAAAATAAAAACAACTTTATAAATATCCCCGGCAACGGCGCCAAAAACTTGTTGTGCAAATTGTAATCAATTTAAATCTTCCACACAAATACACAAGTGCACGTGTCACAAGTAATAAAGGGATGTGTGAGTCCAATTATCGTTCCCACGGAGATAAGTGTCAAGTAATGATTATTTAGGTGAAGAAAGTGAGTAAAGTGATTGATTATGATTGTTGGTTTTGTAAAAGACAACTAATAATAAGAAAACAAGAAACTAAAATAATAGGTATTAAGATGATGGATGAAATATAGGTCAGGATCAATTTCCCTGAGACAGCAATACTGATCTGATGCTTTAACGATGCTATGTCAATGCTAACTAGTAACCGAACACTAAGGTGTGCTGGGGCTTTTGGCCAACCTAACATATATACTCAACAACTAATTCCCACATCTCTATGGCCAAACTAATCACTGAATTGTTTAAGTTCAAGTTCTAGGTTATGTGGTGTGAATGATCTCTCTACCCACAACTTAATTAAGTTAAATTAACTTAATTAATCCACACAATTCAACAAGGGTCTGGATTCGGAAACCTCTCGGTCCCAACCTCCTCAATATCACATATGTATCTCTCGACATGCACACGTGAATAATATTAAGCAAACTCGTTGAATAACTAATTAAACATTAACATAAACAAAGTTTAGGCATACATCTCAATGTTACAGCATAGGTACTTTATAACCTAACCTATGGAGCAAATTAGCTCATGATGGAATTAATTAAAACAAAGAAAAGAAAGGTAGACTTCATTGGAAAACAGAAAAGAAGATGAAAACAATTGTTGTAGGAAGCCGTCGTCACTGCCTTGCTCCAGCACTGCTCCAGCGCTGCTTCTCCTCCTCCAAGAACTTCTCTCTTTCTCTCTCTAAAACTCTCCTCCTTGCTTCTGACCTTTTGAGCTTTGAACCTCTCTAACTGTGTTTTGAACTATGTTTTAACTCGTGGAGGAGCTCTTCTTAAATAGGAAAAATGGTTCGGCTTTGGGCTTTAGGAATTAAGAGTGGAGATTCATGAATCCAGTTGCTACAGCCTTATCGTATCCTTAATTCTTGGGCTGTTGGCACTTGCTTGGATAGAATCTTGATCTTCTTAGAATCCTTGTGCCAATGTTGTTGTTGACCGAGTATGAGCTGAGTTTGTTGTCCTTGATTCTTGGGATTTTCGGATTTGTTGGCACTTATTTGGATAAGTTTTTTATCTTCTTGGATTTCTTCTGCTAATGTTGTTGACCGAATCAAGGTTGTTGTCCTTGTTCTTTGGGATTTGGATAAGATTCAATCTTTGAATTTGTCTTTGACCCTTGTGATTTCTGGATTAAATCTTCAGAAACTTCCTTTGCTTGCTGGTGTATTGTTGAAGAATAACTAACTTTTGAAATTCAAAAGTTCGATTGTCCCTTTGTCCACGCTGTCATGCTGTAGCGCTTGCTATATCATTACTTCTTCAGCTTCTCTGCTACAGCATTCCTACGTCAATTTTTTCTGCAAAGACAAACACTCAACAAGTCATCTTTTCTTACACAAAATCAAGGGATATTGTCTTATTTTCCATACTTAGTCATCTCAAAGAACTTAATCATGAATATGCAACATTTAGCTCAATTATCATGCAATTAAGACACTTTATATGGAATTTATGCAATAAATTCATCATAAAAGTAATAAATTAACTCTCATTTGGGAGAGTTATCATGGATACATGCCTAAGTATGTGCAAGTTGCAATTTAAGTGAAGAAAATGAATTGTAAAAGAAAAGAATCCTTGGAAGTTTCCTTGGAGATTTCGACCTATAGAGGGATTTTGGAATAGATTAAGTTACATTTTATTTTAATAAAATGTGGAGCTTCCAATGCATGAAATTGACGAGTTTAAGAAGTGAAATGACTTGAAAAATTGTTGAAAGAAATATTGGTTCCCTTTATGTGTACCCACAACCTTATGGAGAAAAATGGCATGAAAAAGGTTTGAAATTCTCTTGTGGGTACTTAGTTAATTTAGGGAACATTAACGATTATAAAATGTTAAATTAAAGGAAATTATAAAGGCATGGTCTCGACTTGTAAATTGGCATAGGATTGGCAAAAATATAAAGAAACAAAAATAAGTGATAAAATGTATGCCTTATGTAAGGATCATGGCATAGGATCATTTTATTGATTTTGTGTGAATTCCTTCTCTAGGTGTACCTAGGGACTATGAACGTTTGGATTCTCGTGGAGCAAGATAAGTAGCTTGTTCTTCAAGTAAGAAAATTGTAAAGCTCCAAAAGGTAAGCTCTATGTTTATGGGTTCGCTCCTACTTTGTGTTCCGCCATAGTGTACGGACTGTGGTCAGGTTGTATGATATGTATGAGATATATGATATAGATGCATTCATATAGAGCTATATGATGATGTGATATGATATGTTTTGATGTGTTTAATTTGATATGTTTTGATGTGTTTACTTTGATATGTTTCGATATGATTTATGTAATGATTTCTGGATATTGATTTGTTTATGCACCGATGTCCGCTTGGGGTCCTCCCTTGGGACCGACTGTGTATATATCTGTTATATGTTGAGTTTCGCTTGGGGTCCTCCCTTGGGAACATGTTCACTGATTTCCGCTTGGGGTCCTCCCTTGGGATTGATTGTGTACACTCTGTTATGTGATGATCTTTGGCCATTGATCCTATGTGCACTGATGTCTACTTGGGATCATCCCTCGGGACTGATAGTGTACATCTCTGATATATTTTTGGTTCCGCTTGGGGTCCTCCCTTGGGAACATGTACATTGATTTCTGCTTGGGGTCATCCCTTGGGAATGACTACGTACATTTCTGATATGATATGTTTTGTTCTGATGTGATTATTGTGATGATTTTTGTATATGATATTTGTTACGTGCGTTGATTTCCGCTTGGGGTCATCCCTTGGGAATGACTACGTACGTCTCTGATAAGATCTGTATATATGTTTTACTCAGTGAAGATATGTTTTGGTTGGGGTCATCCCTAGAGATTGACTGTGTACATATCTGATATGTTTTTGTTTCCGCTTGGGGTACTCCCTTGGGAACACGTACGTTGATTTCCGCTTGGGGTCATCCCTTGGGAATAACTGCATACGTTTCTGATAAGATATGTGTATATGTTTTGTTTAGTTATGATATTTGATTATATGACATGTTTTATGGGATATGTATGATGATTTTGTAAATGATATTTGTTACGTATGTTGATTTTCGCTTGGGGTCATTCCTTGGGAACGATTGCGTACGTCTCTGATATAACACGTTTTGTTCTGATGTGAGTATTGTGATGATTTTTGGAAATGATATTTGTTACGTGCGTTGATTTCCGCTTGGGGTCATCCCTTGGGAATGACTGCGTATGTTTTTGATAAGATATGTATATATGCTTTGTTCAGTTATGATAATTGCTTATATGATGTTTTGTATATTATGTATCTGACTGTCATGCAGGAAGTGAGCCCAGGGTATGAAGAGTTTTCCATAAACCTGGAGTTTACTAGAGATTCGTCTCTAACCCCGTTTAGGGATATGATTTCAGGAACACAGTTAGTTGAAGAGCCTCATGGGACAAGGACACTAACTGTAGCTAGAGGTAATAGTATGAGGATGTGGAGTTCTGGGTGACCGGAGGCTACTATTTGTTCTAGACGTATTTTTGGAAAAGATGTATTGTTGCATAGTGTTCATATTCGATACACGTACATTTATGTATTCAGGCATGATGATATGACTATGTAGTATTTAGTTATGTTATGTATTGGATTGCATGACTGGTACTTCTTGAGATATATATTGTTTAAACTGTCTATCAGGAACTCTTGGGAGTGGGATTGGAAAATCTCCAGCTGTCCGATTTACAGAGATTACTCTGTCCGATTTTCGTTTACGCCTAATTTGAAAAAGAAAAAGTTAACTCGTATTTTCGTAAGTTAAGTCTTCCACTATTTTTGTTTATATCATATGTATGTTAATTGAACCGACTCGAGAGAGGAAGGTTACAATATTAACTCATCCCATACTTTAATTCTTTGATAAATGACAACAAATTTACTTGTAAGGTGTTATTTTGTTTTGTTCAAATTTTCTATATGTTTGACACTTTTGACTATTTATTTCTACAACAAAATCATTACATATATTCTTCTGCATTTATTCCACGCAAGCATCCTGTCAAACCCAATGACGCGTTTGAGCCAATCAAATGCCTACAAAATTGTACTGCTCCGTCACTTGCCACACCGGTAACCAGTCTCCACCAATATAAATTCCAAAATATCTCTCCACAAAAATCCAAACCAAGGAAAAAAGTTCATACACATTTCGCCGGTTGCATTTTCCGGCGAACTCGTCGGCGGCTCCCACTCTCCGGCTGATACTTTTTATTGTCCTTGTAGCTACTTTTTTTTTTTGTCGTAATTCCGTTAGTTTCCGAAAAACAAAAATGTTTCTTTTTGATTGGTTCTATGGAATTTTATCATCCCTGGGTCTGTGGCAAAAGGAGGCGAAGATATTATTCCTAGGGTTAGATAATGCTGGCAAGACCACCTTGCTTCACATGCTCAAAGATGAGGTTTTTATTCTTTTTTCGTAATGTTAATCTACCTTTGTAAATTGTATACATGTATATTGAAGCAGTTGTTGAGATATTTGAAATTTTGCAGAGACTAGTTCAGCATCAACCTACTCAATACCCAACTTCGGAGGAGTTGAGTATTGGGAAGATTAAATTCAAGGCCTTCGATTTGGGTGGTCACCAGATTGCTCGTAGAGTTTGGAGGGACTATTATGCTAAGGTTTGTTTCTGCTTCTTTTTTAGTTTCATTCTTATAAATACATTATGTTATTTATTTATTTTTAATGCAAGTTTCGGTTATTATGATTTAATGGATTTTATGGTTGTAACACATGATCCTTTTCATATCAAAATGTTTGTGAGCATAATTCATTGTGTTGTTTGCTGTGAGCTAATCTTGACAGTCCTTTAAACTTGGGAGGTATGTGGGAATCTGTAAGCTGAATTTCAACTTGGTTTGGATATGTAATGTGTATTATTTTATCTCATGTCTATTGATTCGGAGAAGAATAATATAGTTGTGTGAATTCCATTATGAAGGAAGAAATCTGGACAAACAATTGAAACTACATTTGAGTTTTACCTCACATTAGACCTTTTAAGTTTTAAAACCTATCTCATCCTTGAATGTAGCCTTATCTGTGGGGAAATTGTTTTTTCCCGTCACAGATCAGAGTCCTCTCTCTCTCTCTCATTTTTTTGGAGAAAATAAGAGTCCATACATCTTGAATTTCTTCAGTTCCTTGTTGCAAAAATAGGCAATTAGGTGGAAAAATTGGAGAAGAAAACCTTGCTTTATAGTTTTTGTTATTACAAAAAGGATGTTCAAGAGAATACTTCCTGGTAACATCAGCAAGGAATATATGGTTTCCTCAGATCGTGGCTATTGTGTTGTATATAAACTTATTTTTGTTCTCTTTCCAAACCGAAGTTCTTTTCAATGGTTTTTAAATTCTCCTAATATGCACTGTTGATTGTTTCCTATGATGGGACATGAATGTTAACTGTGAATTTTACAACATGCAGGTGGATGCTGTGGTCTACCTGGTTGATGCATATGATAAGGAAAGATTTCCAGAGTCAAAGAACGAACTGGATGCTCTTCTATTTGATGAGTCACTGGCAAATGTACCATTCCTTATATTTGGAAACAAAATCGACCTACCTTATGCTGCATCAGAGGATGAGTTGCGGTATAATATGGGCCTGACTAACTTCACCACAGGCAAGGGCAAGGTCAATCTGACAGACTCCAATCTCCGTCCTCTAGAAGTGTTCATGTGCAGTATTGTTCGCAAGATGGGATATGGGGAAGGCTTTAAGTGGCTTTCTCAGTACATCAAATAGGGGAACATAGTGCCCTCCTAGTTGTTGATTATCATCATGCTGATGCAATCTCAACATAGTGCTTTGTTTGTTTTTATGCGTTACTGCCCATGTAAATTGGAAAGTTCAGTCGTAGTTTTACTCTTACTTTGTTATGAGGCTTATTTGTTTCTATATGTTTTTGCAGCCTACGTTGGTTACTAAAATTTTAGAACTAATAAAGTATGGCCTCAATGTGATAAATTATGCATAGATATAAGAGGTATGAATTGACTTGGCTATGGAGCGTGTAAGAGGGAGTTTTTGCTGTACCCTACCTCTCCCAGCACTTTTAAGAATTAAAACCTGAATCAGTCTTGCAAGAAAAATTTAGTAACTTGTACTTGCTTTGCACATGTCATGGGCCTCCAAGTGATGAGTGGGTTAGTTAGTTTGTTAGAATATTATTAAAGGAGGGGGGGAAGTGTAGAGTAAGATAGGCATGAATTAAGTGAATACCAGCCCATGAAACAAGGCCCAATAGCCTTCTTCATCAGGAGACGTGAAATGGGCTTTCTAATACCAGCCCATGAAATAATGGTCAAACAGAAACCATGGGCTGTAATCATTGAATTTTTTTACTATTAAATAAAGAAAATATTGGATGCATTTCATGTTGTGAAATTGTTAAATGAATCAACGTTTTCATTTAATTTTTTTTATCAAGTATTAGGAAAATTATCGGAAGGTTATAACGGACCTCTCTGTATTTTAGTCAAAGGCAATCTAAAAATTATTTTATAATTTTAGATTAATTAAAATATATATTTAAGGCAAGTGCTGAAGTAATGAAAATCAGTCAATTTAGTTGATTTAGGAGTAGAGATGATACATATTCTGAGTTCTGACAGTAATTATGTCTATTCAAATCTAGTTATTTAAGTTACAGACTTGATCTTTGCATCAGAAGCATCCACAATAGAGCGAGCTCAAATTACACAACTAAGGTTCATACATAACCCATTCAAGATATTAAATCAATTTGAAAGGGTCATCGATTCACATCAACACTAAGGAATTTACACTATTTACAGGCTATACCAAAAAAGGCAACCAACCTATCACACTAGTTTTGTTACAGGAGTCTAAGGAGTTGACTACATCACAAAAATAAAAACCTTTTATGGGAACCTTGTTTTGGGAAGCTATGTCCTTGTTGTTAACATGTCTACTTCAGAATTGAGAAATTCTTCAAATTCCAGTTCCAGCTGTACAAAGCAATTCTATCGAGTAAATAAACATGTTAAACTAAATCAAATCAAAGCATAGTAATACCATTTTGCATACATATATATATATGTCACCTTTGCTTGATTATGGGCAAGCTTCATCCTCCTATACTCTTCTTGTGCTTTCTTAGAGCGAAACATGGCTTGTACACGTACCACAGACCTCTCAACACGTTCTACAGCTTGTTTCCTACCAGTCCTAAAGAAGTCCTCTTCTACATCACTTTCCTCTTCCTCCTCATCTTTCATTTCTTGGACAGGATTAACCTGCAGCCCGCGGAACCCTTTTCTCTTTAAACGCCAACGCAGGATTGCTTTCTCAAGCACTCCAACAGACCAAATAATTTTCTTATAGTGTTTCCGCATTTGAAAGCCCCTGAAAGCAGCCTGCATTGAAAATGTATGCCATTAATCTTTTCCAGGGTGTAAATTACAATAACAAGTTAACAACTCAAGAAGATGCAACTTCGTAGTGAACACAACTTGTTGGTCTCATCCCTGAAAACCCGGAATTGAATTACACCTTCTATAGTTGCTAGGTTTTATAATTTAGACTTTAGAAAGTAGAGAAAGGACTAATCTCCTGTAATATATACTCAGTGCAGTGGACCTCCTATGAGCCAAGAAAAAGCAAAAGGAAACAAGAAACAAATTCATACACACGTATATAAATGATAGATACATAGATTGATAGATAAATTATCCCCTACCCAACAAAAATTGAAAATAACACTTCCAAGTGTCTCTATTGCCGTTTACAACTGCATTTCAATGGTCTCACTGCCAAGGCAGAGATGTGAAGGTGCTTAGCTCAACAATTAGGCATTAGAAATTTTGTTAAGATATGACTAGATGGGAAAGAAAGTAAGCTAAGAAGTTCGTTCCTAGAACCAATACTCTCGAGTGGTACTACATCAACATTCTCTCGTCTATAAGCTCTATGTCAGATTCTGATTTTAAGTGTAACCTTTCTTTGCCTTGATTGTCCATTTTGTTAGCTTCTTTACAAACTGGTAAAAATTACTTAAGTCAATGAGGAAGAAAAGCAATTGACTTGTTAAGCTCAGATGTATGGTCACTAAAAGTGCTTAGATGAGCATCACTGCCCTCATAACTAGTGGAACAAGCCATTTAAGATTTGGGCCAATTGACAAGAATCCGCAGTCAATCAGTCCAAAACATGACTCAAACAAATGAAATCAATTTTCAATATAACAAATGTTTATTCAGGTCTGTTTAACAATAACAAACAGCAAGAGTAGCTCGTACTTGGATTTTAATAGCCTGACGGCGCATGTGGAGAAAGTCTCTACGGAACTTCCAGGTACGGAATCTATGCTGGATCCGAGCAGCAGCTGTCATCCTTTTCCTTGTCTCAAAGTTGCGAAAGGCATGTTGAATCCTCATTGCAGCTACTATTTGGCGTGCTTCATCCTCAGGACTACAAACTTTAATTGTGTTATATCGCAATTTTAGTGAGTGCTCCCTAAACGCTGCTTGTATGCGTGCTGCAGCTTCAGCAGTTGTTCGGTATGCTGCCAACGTATCCTTTAGGTACAGCTGGTCCTCAGTAAGGTTCTCAGAATTTACTGGATCAGCAGTGTTAGTTTCCAGAGAGCCACTGATATTTCCAGCTAAGCTCATGTCATTGAACTGCTCAACCAGAGACTTTTCCGAAAGATAAGCGGCTAAGCCCTCATATCCCTTCATATAAGCAAGATCAGCAGCAGTACATCCCCCAGGATTTTGTGGAGTTGGATCTGTGACCAAGTTTGGCCTTGCCCCAAAAGACAACAGAGTTGCAACCATTTTCTCCCTGCAGACACACATTTTAAATAAAATAAACTGTCATGAACCAACTCTCCGGAAGTTTAAGCAATTAGGCAGAGGTACATGAATGTTTTTATATTACATCTCTGACATAAACAATGAAAAGTTCGTTGAGGTTCATAACTAGATTAAAAGGAAAAAAATGCATATAAAGTATTACTATATGGACAGCCTTCTTTGCCCAATTTCATGATAAAATCACATAGGTTGTATTTATGTCTGTTTATGATTAGGGAAAAAAGAAACTGAACAGTTAAGCCATGTCAGAAAACGATTTTTAGGTCAATGTGGTTGCAGCAATGCTAATTGTTCAAACAAGTGGGGTGTCCGTGTATCATACTTTCCATAATATGCTGCCCAATGAAGAGCTGTCCATCCAAATTTGTCCCGGAAATTCAGCGACAAGCCTGACCACGAAAATAAGGAAACAGCCCAAGTATATCCCAAAATTGCACATAAATGAATTACACCTTGGCCTTGCGCATCATATTCAGCAGTCTTATGGCCTAAGACAATTCGTTCCAAAAGCCATTCCTTCAGTTTGTTTTTCAATGCAATTTCAAACAAGTCATCTTTTGCTTGCGGAAATGGAGTTGTATTGTCCTTAGTTGACTTCATCAAATATTGCCAACTTTTGGAAATAAATGAAGTTTTGGAGGAAAATTTTCTAGCTTCTTTCAGTGCATTAGGTGATACTTTACTAGAGAAAATATCAAGGCTCTTTTGTGTGGCAAAGAGCAAATGAGCAAGCCTCATCTGAAGTAGAAACTCATTCCAGTTGCATTTCTCTTCCATAGAAGCAGCAGGGTCATGCAAAATAGGTGTACGATATTCAAAATTTATAACTTGGCTAATAGGCTTATGGCCATCCAAGCTCATATAGAGATTCACGAATCCAGGAGAGTGTGGCGATACCCAGCATCGGTAAACCCCGACCTGAACAATTTCTACAGGAACACTTACTTCACCACAGACACACAGTAGATTAGACTTTGCAAGGTGTTGATAGTCATTATGAAATAATCCAGTAATCAGGACCTGCAATAAGTAAACAGAGATAAAATATCTAGTTATAATTGCAAAACAATGGTAGCGAACATATGAATCGATGTTATCCAAAAAAAAAACATATGAATCGATCATAAGACAAGCATTTATTGTGAAGTCTTTTAAGTTACAATACACACACGCATGTATATACGTATACTTGTAGCCAAAGTACTACTCATGACACCCACAGATTTATTTTTTATTTTTATTTTTAACATTGAAAAAGAACTCACAGTGCATATTATTATTTTCATGGAATTTTAGATTCCGTGGTTTAAAGCTTTGGAATTCCACAGCCTTGTCAAGATTGAACAAAAATGCTGAGAAATCAACTAAAAAACCAAATATCACATTTAGTGGGAAAGGATATAATTATAACAGAAAATAATTACTAGCAATTAGACATAACAGAAAAGCAAAAGGAGACCTTTGTTTTCTCAGTGGAAGATGCCCACCCAGGGGACACCTCAGTGAGATTAAATACATATTCTGGCAGAGAGGATTGCTGTTTATCCATCACCAACGACGAATTAGGTTCATGAATAGATGAAGAAATTGAGGGTTTGAGAGCTGATTCATCTATAGAACATGGTGTGTCAGATATGATGTTGTCTATCCACATTCCAAAGGTGTCCTGACTTTGCAAGCCTTCATTGACCAAAGTGTCCAAGGAATCAACACCACCCAAAGAGATAGGACAATTCCTCTGAAGACCAACACTTTCTGGAGAACTGTAAGGGACACTATAGCTCCCAGAAATTGGCTGAGTTAAATTATCAAAAGAAGGAATTTCTGCAGAAGTATTGCTGGCTACCTGGTGATAAAAACCCTATATAGGTTACAAGAGCAGCTAATACAAAGCAAGCATCATTAGAATAAAGAAAGAAACAAAAAAAGAGAGAAGAGGGAGAAGAAAGAATTAGAAAGTCCCCAAGATCTAAATTAGAGCTACACAAATTTATCTATACTAACAATAACCTTATATGTTTTACCTATCGATACTTTTTACTGTCAATTGAAGGTAAGCCTCGGAGCAATGGTAAGGTTGTTACTTATGATCTGACCAGAAGGTCATGGGTTCGAATCTGGGAAACAACCTCTTTGCAAAAATGCAAAGATAAGGCTGTGTACATTCAACCCTCACCTCTACCCTTGTAAGTTGGGAAACCTTGTGTTCTAGGGTTTGTCTTTTGCTCTTTACTTTTTACTGTCAATTGATATAATACAATTTAGTTTAGATTGCACACATATAAGTGCAGAAGATATTATACTCTGAACAAATTCAGAGATGGTACTGAATATCTCTTCTAATTTCTTCACTAGAACCACTTAAAATTTATGTGAAAGGAATCAACCAAACCCTATAATTAAGGAACAAAAATAAGAAGAAAAAATCTAGTTTCGAGAAATTACAGCTATTAATTTGTACAGATAACTCACAAGAATCAGTCAGCATAAATGAGATTGATTTGGACACCACAGATTTGGGATTTAACCTTCGAACACAATCCACCTAATTCCATCAATCTCAGTAAATTGGAACAATTGAGTTGATGACCCAAGAGAACACCACAAAAACAAATAAAAAGTGCAAAAATGAATAACACACAACCATGCCTTCAAGATCATTTCAAGGCCTTCATTTTTCAAATGGATGTGGCTTTTGATATATGGTTAGTGATGATTACCCAAAAAAAAGGACTAACAACAAGAAGGTGAAGCTTTTGTGGCTGTGTGCAGCTTTTGCTGCTCTTTGGTTAGAAAAGAATGCCTGCATTTTAAGGTTCTCTATTTGTCCTTATATTTTGCTTTACAATAGGGAGGTGTTTTACATCTCTCTCTGGCGCATTGTTTTAGGCTGTTTCAAGAGAGTTTCCATTTCCAATACGCCAAGAGATTAGGTAGCCTTGCCGCATTCTTGAATCTTTCTTTTTCCTCGCTCTTTTTAATTTCAGAGTATATCTTATCCTCCCCCAAGTTGTGCTTTACTTCTTTTCTCTCTAATAAAATCTAAAATAACACTTCAAGGGACTAATGGCCCCATGACCCCATCCACAAAACATAAATGAGAAAGCACAACATAGAGCAGAATAATAAACATAAATGAAAGAAAGATAATGTTATCTTACATTGCCAAAGCTGTCATTCAGTAAACTTTGATTTTGTTGATCCAAACATGGAACATTGCCTGACAAAAGTTAGATATAATTATATAAAGTACAAAATAATAAGGTTCTTTCCCAACAAGCGACTGGTTCTGCTAAAGCACAAACAATTACCTCCATTAGGTATAGTAGAGGTGTTATCATTTAAAGCCACTAGTTCATCCCATTCAAGTGTATTAATCTCATGAAGCCTCAGGTCATGACTTTTGACTGTTAAATTATTAAGCCCTGTTTATCTCCAAAACAGAACAAGGGATGAGAATATATCTACAGTCAAGGAAAGAAAGCAACAGTATCTATGGCGGCAACAATAGTAACCAAATATACATAGGATTGTAACCAATTAACAATAAGACTCTTATTTACGGGTTCCTTTGGAAAGATGGGCAGAATACAAAAATGGTGAGTGAATAGAATAAAAATGTGTAATGTATAAAGTCATGAACATCACACATATTCTTTTTTATTAACATATTATTCTGCTTCTCATTTTTTAGTAACAAACCCGTATCATCTGTATAACAGATCCCGATTACAAGAAATGTAATAAGCCTTTCAATATTGATAGCCTCAAGTGTATAACTTGTAAGAAGATAGACTGCAATTAACTAAAAGTTATTCTCACCATCAGCATAAGCACTATTGGTCCCAGTATCTAAGTCTTCTGATAAAATCCACGGTGTGGTTTGATTAGAGGCAGAACTTGAATTCGAATTTACAGGTGTGACAGGAGAACCTTGCAACTGTATCATAAACCACAAACTAATGAAGGTTAAAAAACCATATTTTATTCGTTAAGTAGATCAAATAGTAAAACATAAATGGCACATAACCAACGTGGGACTTGGTGGACAAGGTTCCTCAATAGTGAGTTTGTTTCTAAAGTAAGCAAGTAAGGGGTATACACACCCTTGATTTGATTTAAATTGCACCGTAATCTTAACCCACTAAAATTTAAGGGTGGATAAAACCGTTACTAGCTCACTTTGAGACAAATTCACTTTAAAGGAGTTTTTTTTTTTTTTCAAACCTGGGATACCCTCAAACGCATGCAATGGTAAACAACACTACACAAGATGATTCACAAAACCCAACAAAACAAACAGAACATGTGTAATTTATATAGAGAATAAATGAAATTTCCAACCAAACCAATTGAAAAACATGATTGGTGTGAGGTATTTTTCTCAGCCATAATTTTTGTGCGTTCAGACATGCTTGACTGCCTAAAAGACTAAAAAACTGATCTAAGGATATCACAAACTGACTAATGATTAGACATGTGATGGTAAACATATATGGTCTTTCTATCGGGCAAAGCAACATGCACATAGCAAATCTTAGTCATTGTTTGTGGGGTGGAGTCAAATTTTTTAGAGGAAGAAGGAAGAATGAAGAATGAAAATGATAACCACAACCTCCTGTGTTTCTCGATAATGAACAAGGACAATATGCTCCAGAGTCCTGAAAAGAAAATAATAAAAAAATTGTAAGTCATATTATGTCACATATCTGAAACTGAATCTGTATTTTTATGTATAAACCGTCTGTATATGAGCTCTGGAATTGATATCAACAAGGTATCAGTCCAGAGACAGTATACTGATTCATGAAAATTAGGAAATACAGTGAGGTAAAAAAGAGAGCTATGCAAGATCTTCGAGGGTCCGGCTTCGGCCCAACCCAAAACCACCCTTAATTCTTTCCTAACTACACCTTATACTCCCCCTTAATAGAACTCTCCTCTGACCCATTCTCTTTTTGCCAACTGTCCATTTGATAAAGCTACAGGTCCTCAACGTGAATATTCTTCATGATTTCCTTGTTGTTTTCCTCATGACCCCTGATCCCCTGTCTCCCACCTTATTCCTCCTAGAATATACCTTAGTTAAGGGGGCCTATCACATTACTGTTTGCAACTTTCTTTTTAGTCTATGTTTAACAAATTAAAAAAAATGCAAGAAATACATAATCACCATTACTAATTCATAGTTCAGAAATACAAACATGCATAACATATTGGAATTGGGACCTTAAAAGTCAAGCTAACATTGATATACATACTTATCAAGCAACCAATAACATCTACGGACAAAGCTCGGGTTATCTTGGCCATGTGCATAATATACGTGGACCCTTTCTTCAGTACCAACCTGGTTGATAGGGAAAAAAGAATGACCAGAAAGAATGTAAAAAAATCAGACACGTTCATCATTAGTGAATCAATCTAACATTAAAATCACGCATAACAAAAACTGTCGGAAGAAAAGTTGATCATAGAGAATAAAAAGTGTAATCTGGTGAAAACATTAAGAGAATAAACATAATTTATTCCCCAATTGTCACCCTGAAAGAAATATAAAAATGTGACTAAATATTATACACAAAATGTAGATGTAAAAAGCAAAGAGAATGCATTATATAGATTAAACACAGTTTAGTTCATACTCCTAAATCTAACAGAAGTTATATTTAAACTTAGTAAATCTCAGAACTACCAACAACAAAACATCACTCATGGAAGAAAGCACATTGAATTGTCTGCAATATCAATAAAACTGGTAAGATACACAACGGAGCTTTAGGAACATCCCAGTATTTCAAGATTTAACCTTTTTTAGTACATGGTGGCAGGCGGTTTGAACCTATAACTTCATGCAAACTACCCAAATCCCTCACCACTAACCCAATCCTACTGGCTTATTTCAAAATTTAACCTAACTTAATACTTATGAGGATACTTGCTATAGTCCATCATATTTGTGTCACAGCATTCTATTCCATTAAGAATACACATAAACAGAAAAAGAGAAGTATTTGAACATCTTTATATCATAGTAACTCGTAGTCATAAAGATAAGAAATTATACCCTATAGATATAGGTTACAACAACAATAACCAAGCCTTATACAACTAGGTGGAGTTGGCTACATTGATCAATCAATGCCACTGGCCTCCCTAGAAAACTGAAGTTTCAATTAAACCATTTAGAAAGTCCAATTAAAAGGGAAAGAGGAAGGCATAACAAAACATATGAAACCGATAAAAAAGAACAAAATTAATACAGGAGAAACCATTAAAAAAGACCAAATTCAATATAGGAGAAACCATTAAATGCCCCCCTTCCCAAAATAAATAAATAAATAAAAAACATGTTCAAGAAACTAAATTCAATAGGCTACTTGGTACCACAAAACTTAAAATAATCACTCAAGAAAATGAAAATCCTCACTTTTAAGTGTTCATGGGCTTCTTTAACAGTTTTTCCATCATTTTTCTTTTTCCAGTTGTGCCCATCTTTTCGGAAGTTCCTAAGCACCTTGCGATCAAATAGTACAATAGTACCACCTGTATTACACACAAAAGTCGTAATATTAACATTAGCACTGGTGATCCAAGTCCTGTTTGACATCATATAATTCTTAATAAGGTTAACACTTGTTACTTAGATGTAAAATAACTAATTAATCAAAAATCCACTACCAGATCTATGAATCAACGGTTGAAATTATAGGAAATTAGGTAGGGGAGTAAGAAAAGAGAAAATAAAGATTGAATAACTTGAAATCGATATTGATATGTGTCATGAACTGGCTTTCTCAAAAGCTTAAACTGTTAAAGTGAAAGCATATGGATGGTTTTATATTAACATATCTAACAATTTGATATGAAGGATTTGTTATGAGGGGATACAAAAGATAAATCGCTAAGCTCTATTTATACTAATATAAGACTCCTAACCCTAATTAAATAAGGTAACAAATCATGAAATATATAGATATATGGAAATCAATCCTAAAAGATAATCTACGATGCCCAAAATTACTCCTAGATACAATCAAGATATTATGAGATATTTTTCATATTCTAATAGAAACAATGCAGAAATCAATCATACAGACATTATATTGCTTTATATTCATGCAAATACACTTGAACAATGCATAAATGTGTACATACACTTTTTTTTATGACTTTTACTATTTGTTAAGAAATGCTTCCACAAGAATTGAAGGGTCTAGAAATTTACAAAATTTACAACACAATCTGCAAATCATGAAATGCTCAGGAGCAAGAAAATCAAAATGTTTGATGGAAATAAAGAAATAGAAGTTAAAAGAGACAGAAATGAATATGAAGAGAACAGTCTATATGAAAATGCATATCTACTTTACAAGCGTCAAGTTGCAGCTAATAGCAATACATAATTACTTTTGGGCAGCTTCATTGGCTTGACATTGATCGTGAAATATTTGTAATTAGAGAGTATGGCATGAATCTCATTGGGACGAAGCCACCTGCTTCTTGCTTCCTCCATAGTGTTCTCAACATCCAGCTCTGGGCCATATATGAAAAATTACTTTAGAGATGACAAATCAACAGAGATGATTAATATGCATTGACCATTGACCCAGCAATTGGTAATAGTGGTAATATTGGCAGTGGGAAGCAAATAGCAACAGAAATGCATAGCGAATATATATTTTGTCAGCTTCCTTTCAACCCCATCTTAAAAAGTACAAGTTTCTTTCAACCCTATATTAAGTTCGTTTATAAACAAGGAAAAAGTGGCTTCTAATATAAGGAAACAACACAAAACATAGAGGAATTGTTATGTACCCTGGTGCCCGTACCCTTAATTAAGTTGACAAAGAATGGTTGTTAGTTGGTTCTCACAAAAAATGTTTGAAGTTCATCAGGTTCAAACAACAGCCAATGCCAGAGTAATCTCCAAAAGCCCATACCCCCAGTTGTTTTTCAGAATTACAAGAAAAGTTAACACTTGATCCTGGAGAAACAATCTAAACCGATTACACTTTCTTTTTGACTCCTAGATTGCATTGAAAATCACACACTTGCACCTTTAGTACCAAAAACTAGCTGCAGATGCCACCAATCAACAAACAACGAAAATTTCACATATCATATCATAACTAGAACTTTATTTCGGCCACAAAAGAAAAGTAGGATATGAGAAATTGAGAGAACAAGAGGGTAATTCTCAAAACTGAAACTTGGTGATGCTTGAGGTTCAACCAAACATCAGCATAATTCAAAGGCAAACAAGGAGGGAGGAGAGGAAAAAAGCATGAAGTACATACCCTGCAACGTGTGGAACCCATGTATCTCTGAACCCACAAGCTGCCCAGTTAAGTTGTGTGCCATCATCACAGAAGAAACCTATGAGAAATTCCCCACAACACCTTCTTCTTCTCACTACAAACCTAACAATAGCATTACCAACAACCTTAAAGTAAACAAAAAGATAGCAAACACGTGATTAAACAAAAAAGAACAATAACGTGGCAAATAACAATGAATCAAAAGCAAAAACAAAAACAAAAAGGATAAAAAAAACAAAAGGGTAGAGATAATAAGCAGAAAAGGTGAGAAATTTACCTGACTGTGGAGGAGGTTCTGTTGGAACGAGAAGATAAAGGGTAGTCACAGCTCAATAATGACACTCTGTTCTCTCTGTTCCTTTTTAGTTTTGAAATTTCTTCTTCTTTTTATTTTTTCCCTCGATTCTAATTTCTGCTGTGACACTGCTGTGACGATGACACTCTTTGATTACACTCCGTACTTTCTATTGTTACACACCCACGTATGCATATGTTCAAAAAGTTTATACGTAAGAAAAAACGCGGTTCTTGCTTTTTGCTTGTGTCATTTTTAGGAGAGAGGTAAATACAAAAAAAATAAAAATTATGGAGGGGAGAAAGTGGATGGTTTTTTTTTAATTTAAAATTTCAATAAAAAAATTATTTTGTGTCTTTCTCATTTTTAAAATGACAAACACTTTTTCCAAAAAAAAAATATATTATGTAAGGCATTATAATATAAATAAATAAAGTATATAATAAATTTAAATTGATATGAAACTTTTTAAAAAAATTATATAATTAAAAATTACTTAGTGGTATAAGAGTAGTACGGTAAATTATTTATTAATTTATCTCCTACAATCTAAAAATAATGTCGGTTTTTGAATTTGGAATTAACCTAAATATATTGATTTTGAAATAAAAAATAAGGTGTTTTGAGAATTTTACTTCTTATTGATAATATTGATTTTTTAAAATATTTTATTTTAAAAAAATTAAGATGGTGTCATTTTAAAATTACAAGAGATAACTTAATCTTTTATATTAAAAGAAACATTAAATTTTTTAATTGCTGTCAATTAATATATATTGTTAATATTTTATATATTAGATAAATAAATAAAATGACATTTTTGGTGGTCAATTTTAGAATAATAATCTTACTCTTAAGTTAATATTAATTCCTTGCGAGGAAATTCAGTGTGTGTATTTTTTTATACTGAAAAAACAACTAAATATATTGGGGGGGGGGGGGGGGGGGGGGGGGGGGGAAATTAAGACAAAGAGATAACAACTTTTGTAGGGTGGAACGAGGGACCCGATTAGATATAAACACCGTACGAATTCCAACAAAGGATGGTGCCATGTAGGCAGGGGTGCTAAACGAGCCAAGGGCTTTTTAGGGGTTTTTGGCTCGGCTCGTAAAGGCCTGAGCTCGTTTAATAAAAGCTCGTGTTGGAATCAGGCTTGAACTTGTATAAAAGCTCGTTTAATAAAAAGGTCTCAGGCTCTAATTCAGAAGCTCGACCTTAGAGCCTCACAGACTCGCCTAGTATATAAATATTTATTTATACTTTTTATACTACTTGTAATAACTCTCCCTCATCAATTTATTTCACCCCATTTTATTGGTTTAACAGACTTTTTGAATGATTTGGTTCTATATTATGCTATTTGGATATATATTGAATTTATATATATTTATGGAATTACTAGTGATGTTCTATATTATCCTTCATCCTCCTTCACACAAACAAACCCACAAAAACTCATTCGTTCCACTGTGCACTGCTCGTTTGTGTCAATTTATTTTTTATTTTATTTATTTTATTTTTATTTTTGTTGTCACTTTTTTATAATGGGCTAAGATAATATAACCTGTTATCTACCTTCTCTCACTTTAATTTAATTTATTTATTGTAGACTTTGTAAATTATTGCTGCAAATTGGAAGCTAAGGTTTCTATCTGAAAATTGATTTTTTGTGGAATTCTGTTATCTTATTTTTATTCTTTAACATGCTAACAGGTTAACACAGACTTCACACAGACTTTTATTTTTTGTAAATAAACTAGGCCACAAGCCAATATTATATTCGTAACAGCTAACAGGCTAAGGCCAGTCGGACACGTTTAAATACAGGCTTGGCCCGTTAAGATCAAAGCTCGGCTCGGCTCGGCATATAGGGGTGTTAACGGGCCGAGCTGAGCTGAGCTTTGATCTTAAAAGGCTAAGCATGCGTTTAAAAGTGTCAGCCTGACCTAGCCTGTTACCTGTTACAAATATAATTATCGGCCTTGGCCTGTCTTATTTATAAAAAATAAAAGTCTGGTTTGACTTGTTAGCCTGTTTAAAAAAAAATAAGACAACAAAAATTTATCCAAACAGAATATACAATCAAAAGCACTAGTAATTCCATAAATATTTATAAATTCAATGTATATCCAAACAGCATAATATAGAACAAAATTATTCAAAAATTCTGTTTAACCAAAAAAATGGGATGAAATGGATTGAGGAGAGAGAGGGGACTATTACAAGTAGTATAAAAAGTATAAAATAAAAATAAAAATTAATATACTAGGTCGATCTGAGAGGCTCCAAGGCCGAGCTTTTGAATTGGAGCCTCAGGCCTTTTTATTAAACGAGCTTTTATACAAGTCCAAGCCTGGTTCCAATAACCTATTTCAAACATGTAGGTTCAGGCCTTCACGAGCCGAGCCAAAGGCCCCTGATTTGTTTACCACCCCTAGTGCCATGGTCATCGAGTCGTAATTGTCCATGGTGTTTATCTGATAAAAAAAATGAGTTTCATTTATTTTTGATGTATGTATGAAATAAAATTATTTCTCATATATAATTAGGGTTTGGTGTTTGTCATTTTAAATGACATAAGTTATGTCATTTTAGGAGAGAGATAGACACAGAAAAACAAAAATCATGGGAGAGAGAAAGTGAGTGATTTTTTTTAATTTAAAATTCAAATTTTTTATGTCTATATCTCTTTTAAAATGAAAAACACTTTTTCCATATAATTATCTAATACAAATATATTTCTCATATAAATAATACTTATACTTACTCATTTTATGCTTATATAGTTATATTGAGCTCTCGTAGTATAACATAAGTTGTAGAGAAGTTCAGTCGTTTGATTACTAACTGCACCACGTGTAATTCTTTTTTCTTTTTTTTTTTTCTGAACCGAAGGAATCCTATTTCTTGTGATTATGTAAAAACTCAGCTTCAAAAGTTTGACCTGTAGGTTTGCCACGTGTAAAACACCAGAAATGTTCGGAGAGAGAATTGAACTTGACTTGTATTTGGTTGTTGAGAGTAATCCTGTAAAAATCGAACTGGATCGGCAAGTACGACCCAGAATTCCATAAATTGATGATCGATTCGATTATCCCATCGAATCGGCTAACTATTAGATTTGGTATGACCCGTTGATTTTGAAAAAAATCAGTGACTCGATCAATTAACTGATAATCCAGCCCAATTTATTTAAAAAAACATTTCTAAAATAATCTCAAAAACAAATTATAATTGACATATTTAAGTGATCTGTTCCTTATTGACTTACATAAGTTATGTACTCACAATACTAATATTATCTCAGTTATGCACTATGCAGAAAATTTTGATTTGATTTATAATTAGAGATGTCGTTTACTGAACCTAAATACTAGTATTACAAGCATTATATATTTGTTTGATTTTTTATTGGACAATAATGTATAATCAATTATTTTTATATTAAAATATTTAGAATTTATATAATTATTTTTAACTATTTGAGTATGTTTATAATTTTTTTAATATAAATTATATAATTTATTTATAATCACCAGGTTATACGATTCAACCAATAATCCATTAGTTAAACTAGTAATTAGAGGTGTTAACGGAACGAGCCATGCCGAACTTTGGTCTTAAAAGGTTAAGTCTGTGTTTAAATGTATCAGTCTAACCTAACCTGTTATCTGTTATGAATATAATTATCAGCCTATGGCCTGTCTTATACACAAAAAATAAAGGCCTAATTTAGCCTGTGAGACTAATAAAAAATAATAAGACAATAAAAATTTATCTAAACAAAATATACGATTAACAATACAAATAATTCCACAAAAAAATAATAAATTCAATGTATATCCAAACAACATAATATAGAACAAAATCTTTCTAAAAGTCAGTTTAGTTAATAAAATAGAATAAAATGGATTGAGGAGAGAGAGAAGACTATTATGAATAGTATAAATAATATGAAATAAAAATAAAAGTTAGTATCTTAGGTCAGCCTGAGAGGCTCTAAACCCAATCTTTTAAATTGAAACATGAGACATTTTTATTAAACGAGTTTTTATATAAATCCAAACTTAATTTCAACAATTAATTTTATACATGTAAACTCATGAACCGGATCAAAAACTTGTGGTTCGTTTATCAGCCCCGTCAATAATCCAATATCTCAACGGGTTTAAATAGCTACGTATGTTGTGTAGTTTTTGGTTTTTGATTGGAACATAGTCGAGGCACTCGGATAAAGTTGAAAATTAAATGTGATTGGCACAGCTCACCTACCTAAAAAGCTTGAACAATAGTTGTGTGGTCTCAAGTTTGACATCCGTGACTCAAATTAATATTGTGTGTCAGGGTTCAAGAACATTTTCAACTCTCGGACCATCACTTATTCAGCGATTCGGACGATTAAAATTGATCACCTTTTTGTAACATCACTAACATGTGATCAAGGATATATCACATGTCAATTTTTTAATTGAAGCACCACATGGTCCGATTCATTAGAAAAATGGAAAGGTGTGTATCATTTTAAAGAATATAAAGTTATATCATTTTAAGAGAGAGAAAGAAATAAATAAAGGAAAGAGAGAGTTGACAAAAAAATAAAATAAAAGTGTGAGTCTCACTTCTTTGTGAGAGTGAAAAGATATAAATTATGTTATTTAAAAGAATAAATATTTTTCCCTTAGTAAAAAAATCCCGAAAAAACAAAAACAAAAAGGTAATCGAGAGAATTATTCTTTTCCTTATTTATTATTATTGTATAATAAAAAGAAGAAGAGATTTCTTCTTTGTTTTATTTTCTAAAATTAAAAAAATGATGTAAATTTTAGTTAAGAAAAAATTCCCTTTTTCGTCCCTCTCATTTCATTCCACAAGAGAAAATTAAACAATATGTAGGGTCTAAATCTTTCAAATATATAACTTTATGGTGTGA